GTGACAATGTTCATGAACCAGGAGGGCATGATACAACACGAAATAAGCCGGGTACAGAAAGACAAATACTGGGCCAGGCTTGGTGCCTCATGCCTATAATCCCAGCACTTTGGGAGGCCGAGGTGAGTGGATCACCTGAGGTCAGTAGTTCAAGACCATCCTGGCCAACATGGTGAGACCCCATCTCTACTAAAAATACAAAAATTAGCCAGGCGTGGTGGCGTGTGCCTGCACTCCCAGCTACTCGGGAGGCTGAAGCAGGAGAATTGCTTGGACCCGGGAGGTGGAGGTTGCAGTGAGCCAAGATTGTCACTCCAGCCTAGCTACAGAACAAGACTCCGTCTCAAAAAAAAAAAAAAAAAAAAAAAAATCTTGCCACGTGTGGTGATGCACTCTTGGGTATTTGTAGTTCCAGGCACTCAGGAGACTGAGACGTGAAGATTGCTTGAGCCCAGGAATTTGAAGTGGCAGTGAGCCGTGAAAGTGCCACCGTACTCCAGCCTGGGCAGCAAGACCCTGTCTCGAAAAAAACAAAAACAAAAACACACATAAAACATATCTTGGTCCTTTTTTGTCTAAACCACACAGTCCCACCCCACCCTGCAGAAAAAAAAAAAGCAAACAAACTTCCTGTTTTGCTTAGAATGCAGTCTAAACACTGCCTAGTGAAACACGTCCGCCTCTCTGACCTCCTCCCTCCTTGGCCTCCCTCATTTGTGGCCATGGGCACCGCTTTCTGTTTCTTAATCTTGTCAAGCTTTTCCTAACCATCTGGATCAGTACCCACAGTTCCTTCGCAGAGAAATAATTCACAACGTAGCTCACAGGCCGTCTTCCTGTCACTCCAACATCATTATTTTATTTTCATCTTGACACCTTTCGCTATCTAAAATTACTGTGCTCACGGGTTTAATGTCTATTCTTTTTCTCCCTCTTCTAAAAAGTAAAGACTTTGAGAGACGGGGTCCTCTCTGCCTTGTTTACCACTGACTTTGAGGTCCCAGAGTAAGGCCTGAGCCACAAGCTAAGCGTTTGGGAAATACTGCTTGCGTGAGCAGATGAAGTCACCTGCAATTGGGAAATGTCTGACATATGATAGCAATTTAGGAAGGAAGAGATTAATGACGTCTTTTTACAAAAAAAGGCCAGCAATAAAGTGTTATATTCTGGTACTCTGATAGGAGTGGGACACCTGAGACAGCGAATCTGTCTGCTCTCTGTTGCTTTGATAAGACCTGTAGAGATTGTGTAATTTTTTTTTTTTTTTTGAGATTGAGTCTTACTCTGTTGCCAGTCTGGAGTGCAGTGGCACAATCTCTGCTCGCTGCAACCTCCACCTCCCGGGTTCAAGCAATTCTCCTGCCTCAGTCTCCTGAGTAGCTGGGACTACAGGCACATGCCACCACACCGACGAAGTTTTGTATTTTTAGTAGAGATGGGATTTCACCATGTTGGCCAGGATGGTCTTGATCTCCTGACCTCGTGATCTGCCTGCTTCAGCCTCCTAAAGTGCTGGGATTATAGGTGTGAGACCCTGAACCCAGCCTTTTTTTTTTTTTTTTCTTGAGAAGGCATCTCACTGTGTTGCCCAGGCTGGAGTGCAATGGCGTGATCTTGGCTCACTGCAACTTCTGCCTCCTGGATTCAAGTGATTCTACTGCCCCAGCCTCCTGAGTAGCTGGGACTACAGATGTGAGCCAATGAACCCGGCCTAGAGATTGTGTAATTTTGATTTCAACATTTAAAAAGAGATATGGGCTGGGCGCAGTGGCCAAATCGGGCAGATCGCCTGAGGTCAGGAGTTCGAGACGAGCTTGGTCAACATGGTGAAACCCCATCTCTACTAAAAATACAAAAATTAGCTGGCAGGTACCTGTAATCCCAGCTACTTGGGAGGCTGAGGCAGCAGAATCACTTGAACCAGAGAGGCGGAGGTTGCAGTGGGCCGAGATTGTGCCACTGCCCTCCAGCCTAGGTGACAGAGTGAGACTCCATCTCAAATACAAAACACAAACAAACAAACAATAAATAAATAGGCCAGGTGCGGTGGCTCATGCCTGGGTAATCCCAACACTTTGGGAGGCCGAGACGGGAGGGTCACCTTAGGTCAGAAGTTTGAGACCAGCCTGAACAACCCCGTGAAACCCCATCTCTACTAAAAATATAGACATCAGCTGGGCATGGTGGCAGACACCTGTAATCCAGGTTACTTGGGAGGCTGAGGCAGGAGAATCGCTTGAACCCGAGAGGCGGAGGTTGCAGTGGGCCGAGACTATGCCACTGCCCTCCAGCCTAGGTGACAGAGTGAGACTCCGTCTCAAAAATAAATAAAATAAAATAGAAAAGAGACATGTCAGAACTGGAAAGGTATCAGAAAAGAACAATTTATATGAATACAAGGTAGGAAAAATAGATTCTGTGAGGAATGGCTAAATGATTTGGGATCTCAGCCTAGAAAATGGAAGGCCTGTAGGTGGCTTCATAAGTGTTTGAAAGGGAATTGTTAGTTCCAGCCACCAGGTGTGGAGGTGGTCAATTAGGACAACAAGAAGCAAAATGAAAGTAACAAAAAAGCTTCTATTCATTCATTCACTACGACCTACAAGCAAGAGGCAAAGACAGGTCCCAGCTCCCCAGCGTGCCATTTTAGAGAACAGCACGGGACGAAGGTCAGACAGGAACAGTCTTGGCATCAAGGAGTTTCAGAACAAAAAGGATAAAAGCTCCTGCCTCTTTACAGACCTGACCTGAAGTGAGCTGCAGGGAGGCGGGGGAGAAGGGCTGGAATGAGACGTACTGAGCTGAAGCGGAGAAAGGATCTGTCATTGGTCCCAGGAAGGAGGTCTTGGTAGAGGCTGTTGGAAAGTGCCTCAGCTGGGGTCCCTGAACGGAGGTGCCTGGCTAGGAATGCAGGTGTGCTTAGGAGCATGGCAGTCTGGGGGCCTGGAGTCTTTGATTGCAACTTTTGCCAGGAACTTGCAACGCACAGGCAATTCACCAGGCTGGAGTGGAAGGGCAGCTTCCCTCCATGAGACCTGCCAGGCAAAAGTCTTTGATTGCCAGTAGTGAAGCCTAAAAGGCCACCCTTAGGATTTTGGCCTAGAGCCAGTATTTTTATTTTATTTCTTTCTTTTTCTTTCTTTTTTTTTTTTGAGACGGAGTTTCCCTCTTGTTACCATGCTGGAGTGCAATGGCGCAATTTCGGCTCACTGCAACCTCTGCCTGCTGGGTTCAGGCAATTCTCCTGCCTTAGCTTCCTGAGTAGCTGACACTACAGGTGCTCACCGCCACACCTGTCTAGTTTTTGTAATTTTATTAGAGACAGGGTTTCACTATGTTGGCCAGGCTGGTCTCGAACTCCTGACCTCAGGTGATCTGCCCACCTTGGCCTCCCAAAGTACTGGGATTACAGTAATTTTATTTTATTTTTTTAATTTTTGAGACAGTCTCACTTTGTCACCCAGGCTGGAGTGCAGCGGCTTGATCTCTGCTCACTGCAACCTCTGCCGTACAGGTTCAAGTGATTCTCCTGCCTCAGTCTCCCAAGTAGCTGGGATTATAGGTGCGTGCCACCACGCCTGGTTAACTTTTGTATTTTTAGTAGAGACAGGGTTTCATCATGTTGGCCAGGGTGCTGCTCTTGAACTCCTAATCTAAAGCAATCCGCCCACCTTGGCCTCCCAAAGTGCTGGGATTACAGGCATGAGTGACTGTGCTCGACCTGCAGCCAGTATTTTTACCTGCTAGAGTCTATCTGCATCCAAAGCCCATCTCCGTTCCAGGTAAAACCATTTTCTTTTTCTTTGTTTTTTTTTTTTTTTTGAGACTGGTTTTCCATTCTTGCTACCCCAGCTAGAGTGCAGTGACGTGATCTTGGCTCACTGCAACTTCCATCTCCTGGGTTCAAGTGATTCTCCTGCCTCAGCTTCCCGAGTAGCTGAGATTACAGGAGCCCACCACCATGCCCAGCTAGTTTTTGTATTTTTAGTAGAGATGGGGTTTCACCATATTGGCCAGGCTGGTCTCAAACTCCTGACCTCAGGTAAATCCACCCGCCTTGGGATTATAGGCATGAGCCACCGCACCCAGCCGGTAAAACCATTTTCTTTCCATCCTACTCCCAGAATCTGGCTCAGACTTCACCTTTTCTCACCTGGATTAGAGCCTCTCTGCCTCTAGGTTTCACATCTTTGACACACCCTACACAGACTGTTATTCTAGAACCCTAAGAATGACTTGTTCCTGCCTACCTAAAACCCTCTGATGGCGCCTACCCCTATGCTTGGTTGGTTAAAGGGCCTTCCTACTCTCCAGGCCTCTCCTTGTACTCTGCCCCTACCTCGGCAAGTATGCCATGCTCAGGCAGCACTGCCTGCCCCCGCCCCCAGCACACTGTGCCCCTTCACTCCAATCAGACTGAGCATGCTATCCCTTGGCCTGGGACACCCTTCAAACTGCAGCTCGAAGCTCTCGAAGCCCTGGAGTCTCCCCAGCTCTATGGGGCCAGGCACTTTGCACAAGCCTTTATCACAGCCCTGTCACACCCCACTGTCATTGGCTGCAAGGTCCTGCCCAGCAGAGATGTCATCTTTGCAACCTTGTTCACATAGGAGACCTTGCTGAAGCGATGTTGTGAAATGAGCTAAGGAAAAAAAAATGAATGAATGAATATTCCATTCCAATTCCAGCTCCTTTCTGTTTCCCTGGCATGTCTGTAGCCTGCCCTACCCTAAACATACACATTCTGAGAGCGAAACTATCAGAGCTGCCCCTTATCTGGGGCAGTAGCTGGGATCTGTCTGTCCTGGGGCTTCCTTCTCACGAGGGTATCCCACGAGCAGCGCCCACACCCTGCGAGTCCTTGCTGCTGAATATCCAGAAGAGGATCCCTCCTGGTCATGGACAGACAGCTGTACTGCAGCAACCATCAGCAATTAATTTTCCAAATCTGAATGGCAAGTTTTTACACTTCTCCTATGAAAATAACACCTGGCCTCTTGTCTGATTAAAAACTTTATTTCCAGAAGCAGAACTGTTTTTAACACAGAGTTCAAGGAAGCAGCCTGTCCCAAAAGCCCAAATTCCACCTTTCTAAGCCCCAGCCTCTAGATTAACTCCTCTCTAAGGCTCTAGAACTTTGAAGCAGGGTTTAGAAACTAAAGTAGCCTGGATTCCTACCCCGGAAGTACCATCTTTAGAGCTCTCTTCTTGGAGCTTGGATGACTGCCACTCCAAGCTCAGACTTGGTGTCCCAACTTCTACACCTTTACGACAGTTGTATTTCCACAGGAAAGAGACAGCCGGATCTGCCTTTTGAAGAGGCCGTTTCCATGGGAAACAGGAGTCGGGGGCAGCGAAGGCGCCTTCACAGGCAGCAAAGCCGCTCCACCTCCTCCTCACAGTTGTAGAATTTTTCGAATAGCTCAGGAGAAGTGCTGTTGCACTCAAACCACCTCCTCAATGTGCCCAGGGCCCGGAGGGCATCAGCTCTAGTGGGCAGGGGCTTGAAGGCGCCCTCTCCGTCCCCCTCCTTGTCTTCAGTGCCTGTCTCCTCTTTGCACACCCCAGGCCCTGGTTCCTCACCTTCCAGGTCCACAAAGTGGGAAAACTCCTCTAGACTCAGCCCGCTGGGGACTGGTGGCATCTCAGAGGCTTTGTCTGAGGACGGAGGTGTTTTGCCAGGAGCCAGCCCTTCCTGAATGAAGCTGCTGAAAATGAGCTGAGGAGGCACCTTGGCCCAGGCGGCTGCTGCCACATGCAGGGCATCCAGCATTGTGATGCCCGCCCTGGCCTCAGCCAGCGAGGTGCCATCCCTTTCGCTCTGGATGGCAGCCAGTTTGCCCAACAGCCGGTGCCGATAATGAGCCTTAAAGGCCCGGACCACCGAGCTGGGGAGGGGAGGCGTGGTGCTAGAGGTGGCCAGAGGTAAGAGCCTCACGTGGTAGAGCCCAGGCAGGCCTGCCAGCTCCTCTACCACTCGGGCAGCCAGCAGCAAGGCCACCTGTCGGCCCTGCTCGCCCATGTCCCGGTCAAACTGTGCCAACCACTCTGACCAGGGGATGCCCAGGTCAGGGTGGTAGGAGGCAGGCAGAGTCTCACTGCGGACCCCAAAGAAGCATCTGGGGGCAGCCTGGAGCCCACCCAGCAGTACCCGCCGCTTCTCGGTGCCCCTGCTGTTGGCACACAGCAGCACCTGTACTTGATCACATGCACCCAAGCTGCCGGGCACTGCCCGATACAGCAAGGGCAATTCAGCACAGCCAAAGACGTCCTCTGGAGAGAAGTCTTTTAGGGAAAGAGGCAGCTGGGCCTGGGATGTGAGCCCCGGGGGAGGTGGCTCAGGGGGGAATGAAGGCGCAAGAACATGGCGGGCCCCAAAGCCGACGTTGTTTCGGCGTTTCCATCGAACCAGCCAGCCGATGCTGGGCACGAAATCCTGGCCCATGATATCGGCCAGCTCCTTGGCTTTGTGAAGCAGCATGGGCCCCGTCACGTCCCAGGACTTGGCCCGGGCGATGTGGTACCAGCAGAGCAGAGCCTCGTCGATCCCGCTGTATTTGGACTCCCGCTTGCGCTTGCGCTCGCGGTTGGCTGTGCCGCTGCACCAGTCCGCCAGCAGCTTCTCCTTATTCTTGCAGATGCGCGAGATCTGGGGCTGGGAGACCTGGAAGCGCCGGGCCACCTCCGACTGGGACATCTTGGACTCATCCAGGAGCTCCAGCACCCGGATCTTCTCGGCCAGGGACAGGGCATGAAGCTTCTTCTTGCTGCTCAGCTCCATGGCTTCTCCGGGCATCTGTGCTGGGAGGAAAGAATGAGCGGGTAGAGCAAGCTGAGGCCGGGAGGGCTGGGAGAGGAGCGCAGGAGGTAAGAGATTAGACAAGGACATGTGCAGGAACCAGGGGAGACTGGACCCGCCGAAGGAGGCAGGGAAGTGGCCAGGCCGAGTGGGGGCCGGTTGGCCCCGTCCCCAGGATGCCAGGGCAGAGTCGGGGAGGGGGCGTCTCTCCCCTCAGAGGGATAGGGGAATCTGGGCTGGGGTCTGGCTTCACTGGGGAAGAAGAATGAAGAGTGGAGGGGACAGCTGCAGAGATAACAAAGGTGCACCGACATGGAGGGCCTGGGGCTGGGGCCTAGGGGGCAGGTGTGGGGCTACCCCCGGGAGGGAGTGGGAGGCAGCCTGGGCCGGATTCTGATGACGCCACTGGGGGCGGGGAGGTGGGTGGCTGCACAGAGTTGAGGTGACAGGTGTATAGACGACAAAGGGGACAGAGGGGGTCTGAAGGAGCAAGGTTAATTTGGTGCCGGGTCCTGAGAGGGAGGCCGGGCGAGGGTTCGGCCTGAGGAAGTGGAGGGCAGGGCCGCGGGCGCAGGTGCACCGACGACAAAGGGCGGGAGGCGTGAGGAGGCTGCAGAGGGGCGGGGTGTCCCCTTGGGGAGGGTGGTGGCCTGGGAGGGTCCCAACGCCCGGACCTAGGCAGGCCGGCAGCCGGGCCCACGCGTCCTGGCCGGCCACTCGCCCTGGAACCCGTGTCCGTCGGCGGGGAGGCCCCATGCGCCCGCCCGCCCTGCCTCCCGCTCCGCACCCACCTCAGGCGCTGGTCCCGCGGCTCCCGCCCCTGCCCCCAGCTCGACTCCCGAGCCCCTGTCCAGGCGGCGACGGCAGAACAAGGGAGGGATGGGCGCCACGACCCCGAGGGCAGAGAGGGTCGAGGGGCTGCGCGGGCGGGCGCGCGCATCACAGGCCCGGTGCGCGCCGCCCGCGCCGGGCTCTCTCTCCCGGCTAAGTCCGCGGTGAGGTCCCTCTGCACCCACCCGCCGCTGCCGCGCCCCGGCCCAAGCAGATTGGTCCTCAGTGGCGTCCCGTCCCGCCCCTGGCTAAGTCTCATTGGATGCCGCGGAAGTGGCGGTTCATCGAGCCCTCTAGAGGCGGGGCTTCCAGCGCGGAGGGGCGTGAGGCGGAGCCAGGAACCGGCAGGACTTCCCTGGTTGCTTACCGCAGCCGCGGACCCCGATGGCCCGATGAGCCTTGTAGGCGGCGTGAGGGCCGCCGAGCTGACTTTAGGTCCCAGAGTCTTCCTGGCTCTGACCCTAGGCCTCCTTGGCTTCTTCGTCTACCAGGCAGGGCTAACTGCCCTCACAGAGTTGTTTTGGGAAAACGATGAAAAGAGAAAATGGATGCAAGCTTTAAGCCACACAAAAGCTGGTTACCATGGACAGCGCTGGCTTGAATCTGTCGGCCCTGCAAACATTGCTTGCCTGGGCCAGTTGATTTAGGACGAGTAAGCACTAATTTTTATTAGATTTGGTACTTTACAAGATTGAAGTTCCTAAACTCAAGATCTGGCGTCGTTGCTTTCCTTTCCTGCTAACCTTCACTCCCGAATTAAACGCAGACCTCTTGACCTGCAGTCCAGCTGCTTTCCAACCTCGCTGTGCCCTCCGCATCCTCTGCCTTCCTCACAGGCTTCCCTATACACCATCCTACCGGCTGCGGACACTGACCAACTCTCCCAGTCCCATCCCAAATGCCACCTCTCGCAACCCCCTCCCAAATCCCGTCACTTATGCCTCCTACAGTGTTCTTATTTTGCACATTTCTTCTCTGGCTCTCAGACTACTCAGCCGCCAAAGAGCATTCTTTGCTTTACTCCCTCTCCGCCTGACCACTTCAGTGGAAAAACATGAGGACCAGCTGCACTCTGCTTCTCATACGATTCCCAGCCCACAGCACCCTGCTTATGTACTGGACATAAAAGCGCAGGCCTAGGCCTTCCGATAGGCAACGATGGCTTTCAAAATATTCTAGGAATAAAACAGGATACTTCAGGGGGCCCATAATTGCTTGATTCAAATCTTTCATTTAAAAACAACAAAGTTAGACTTCTAAAACACACACTAAAGACATACACGCTGCCATATGTCATGTCATATGAACATGCCAGCTGTCGATATGTTCACTTTGGCTTCAGGGAAACTCACTTTGTGCACATCAACGTGCCTTGGGAAAGCTGTCCCCTCTTCATTCTTCTCCCCCAGTGAAGCCAGACCCTAGCCCAGATTCTCTTGTCCCTCTGAGGGAAGAGACGCACCCTCCCTGGCTCTGCTCTGGCATCCTGGGGACAGGGCCAGCCGGTTCCCACTCAGCCTAGCTACTTCCCTGCCTCTGCAGGCAGTTCAGGCCCTGGGGCACTTGCTCTGGCCTGGGGGCACTGCAGGCAACGGAGGGCACACGGACCCTGCTCCTCTCATGGAGATGTCATTGGTTTGCTTATTAATTATTTTATAAACTTGTATATAAACTTCTGGTCTCGTTTTAAATATCTGAGATTGCAAGGTCAACTGTTAGAAATCTGTCACCACTTTCCATCTATGTATCCAAGTCTAGCAGAATTTTTTGCAAACCAACTGAAACACAAAAATAGGATGCTAAAGTTTTTAACCCAAATTTTGTATTGATCAAAAACAGCTTTTGTTCTTTATAACAAAAAACTGTTATAAATTTGAACTTATGTAACAAATTAAAACTAACAAAATAACCAATTTTATATTCCATTTACATATTGGAGTTCGACAAAAGAAATTTAATTTTTGGGGAAAAAAGCTATATTTAAAACTGTTTTAAAAAATCACCATAAATCTTATGATGAAATGGAGCGAGGCAGGAGATAAACCATCCAGCAGAGGGCTCTGTGTAAAAACATTTATTTTTACTAATGTTTAGAATACAGGAATTAAAGAAAAAAGAGACACCTCAACTCCAAAGCAACAGTGAATTAGGGCCTGCCCGCGGCCAAGGACGAAGGCTACTCCAGGGTGTCCTGGCATGGACTGTCCCCCCACTACTTAATGTCAGTGCCACTAAGCAGAAAACTTGAGGAATTAGGGTGTAAAGACCTTACCAGCTGCTAGCGAGCGTGCAAGGGAAGAAAGGGATGTGCACGTGGCTTCCCCATGAGCTGAGAGCCAGGATACATGGGGCAGGTGGCCGAGGCTCCCAATTCAGTTAAGGGCAGGAGGCTGAATGCCCAGGTCCAGGAAGAACAAAAAGGGGATTTTGGAGGTAGGCTTTTTTGTCTTGTTAAAAAACAGGCACATTATCTATCTCCCTGTGGCCCCCGAGCTGCTGGCCTGGCCCCCTGATCCTTCCCCTCTCCCCACAAAACCAAAAGGAGTAAGAAGGGAGGCAGAAGATGAGAAATTCGAAGGGTAGGCAATGCTTCGGTCACTGGAGACCACCCATGAGAGTGAGCCAGTAGAGCACTGGGAAGAACAAGGTGAAGCTGCTACTCCCCCTGGGGTGGGGTGGAGTGGGACAGGGCAGAGCCAGGAGGGTGAACGAGAACATCCTGACTTCAGCAAAGAACCCTATGTAGCAGGAAGACAGGGCCGCATAGAGCCACTCTGGAGGAAAGAGGTGAGGCTAAGTGGCACAGGGGCATGGAAAGCTCCTGGACGTGGCCTCAGCCTGTTCTCTCCCAGTTGCCTCAGGCAGAGGCCATGGCCTGGCTCGCCTCTGGGGGAATGGAAAACTCTGGACACCAGAGTGGAGGCAGAACAGAGAGAGAAGTGAGCTGCTCTCCCACTCTTTCTAGGAGGACACTGTTTGAACCCTGTGATCACCAGGGCCTGGGCCCAAGGCAAGCAGAGTGAATGCACTTCACGGAGAGCAGAAACTAGGCCCACAGGTATGCCCTGGGGCAGCGTGTTGCTCCTTTCTCCCTGAGGGCCTGGGGCCAGAGGTGGTCAGAGCTGCCACCTCAGCTTGCAGCTGCCAAAGGCAGGCTGGCACAACCACCCCAAGGTTCTCTGGACTTGTGAAGGAGAGGAGGAAGAAGGGACAAGTGGGTATGAAAAATGAAGTGGAGGAGAGAAACAGCCATAGATATGTTGGGGAGCAGGGGTTGGCCACATCAAGAGGAGTTCTGGTTCTGGTAGATGGAAGCTTTCTCCTTCAACAGGTCCAGACACAGGTGGCAGCTCCAACTTCCTGCAGAGAAGCAAAATGGGGTCAGGCTGGATCCCACACAATCCCCACCTGCTTGCAATTTCTTCACGCTCGATACCCCATCTCTATAGCAGGATCAAACCACTGTGCTTAGCCTAAAAAAAATCCCTTAAAAATGCAAAACAGGCTGGGTGCTGTGGCTCACTCCTATAATCCCAGCACTTTGGGAGGCTGAGGCGGATGGATCATTTGAGCCCAGGAGTTTGAGACCAGCCTGGGCACTGTGGCAAAACCTGTCCCTACTCAAAATACAAAAATTAGCCAGGTGTGGTGGCATGCCTGTAGTCCCAGGTACTCAGGAGGCTGAGATGGAAGGATTACTGCATTACCTGAGCCCAGGGGAGCGGAGGCTGCAGTGAGCTGAGATCATGCCACTCCACTCCAACCTGGGCAATAGAGCAAGACCCTGTCTCAAAAACAAAAAGAAAAAAAGTGAAAAACATTCTTAGCTTGCAAGCTATTTAAGCTGGCTGTGGCTGGATGTGGTCTATAGGTTGTAGCTTGTAGCCTGCTACCCTGACCTACAACATGTAATGCTTCCAGGGGTTGCCCCTCAGTTGCCTTAACACTCCAGTGAGCACACTTGGGCCTGCAGCTCTCCACCACCTCAATGTCCCCCAGAACTTTAAGAAAGTCATTCTGTAATATAGATCATCTGTTTGATGGCTAAAAAAACCAAAACACAACAAAACATAAACATGCTACTTCTCCCAAAAGCAGATTCGTAAGCTGGGCCTGACAGAAGCTAAAGGACTCTTGGACTTTGCCAGTGGCCTCATTCTCTAGAGGGGTGACAGGAGTTTGACCAGTATGTTACAAGTCAGCTTACATCACACAATAAAACACTTTCCCTTGCCTGTAATTCTGGCCCATATCCTTCATGCACAGTAAGAGCTCCTGGCCATTTGTGTTCTGAGTAAGCTTCTGAATTTCTGTACACGAGTTGTTTATGCACAGAAATTCAGCTGGAAGGGGACTTGTGGAGATGCTTGGTGCCACCACTGGTTTCAAGGACTAGCTTCCATTAACTTGAACCATTATTAATAAAGTAAGTTATGGGAGAAGCAGCCTGACCCATTGAGGCTCCAAGATCAAGTCCCTTCCCAATCCAGAAGGGGAAGGGAGAGGAAATAAACACTCAAATCTATCAAGTTTCAGGAGTTGATTATAGAAGCTTCACATCAGATAATCTACCAATCGAGTTTCCTGGACTGGTTGGAAGAAAATAAATCATTCCTTCTGGGTGACTGATCTCGGCTCAGCATCTCCTTTCTGCTGGGCTACTGATTTTTCTGTTGTAAATGTAACTGATAATGTGCAAACACTAAACCCTTTAAGCTGAAATGTTAGGAAGGCATTCTAAACTAAGCCAAGGCAAGGTGCCCTACTCCCTAATTTGGAAGAATATATAGCTGATAACATAAAGAACATAGAACTTAGTGTTTTCCAAATTGTTCTGAGTAAAAGATCTGGGCAACTTACCTTCAGGGGGCTCAGACATGGATGGGGTGAGACAGTACATGTGGTAGCCACGATCACAGTCATCACAGAAGAGCAGCTGGTCCTGAAGTAGGCAGGAGGGAAGAGGATGGGGACTGAATGAATGACATGCCTCAGTTAGGCCACTATAGGAGGTGGGAGGGCTTCTGTGACACTGCTATTTCCGAGAAGTAGGTGGCAGGTAAAAAGAGATGTAGGAATCTTATGTAGGAAAACATGCTGTCCATCTCCACCGCAGATCCAGTCACTGTCATCTCTCACCTGGATCCTTTCAGAGCTCCTAATTGATCAGATCGACACCTTTTTTTTTTTTCCTGGAGCCCAAGCTCTATAGGTATACATTTTTTGAGACAGGTCTTGTTGCCATTCAGGCTGGAGTGCAGTGGTACCATCACGGCTCACTGCAGCCTTGACCTCCTAGGCCCAAGTGATCCTCCTACCTCAGCCTCTCAAGTAGCTGGGCCTATAGGCACACACCACGGTACCCAGCTAATTTAAAATTTTTTTTTGGAGAGACAAGGTCTCCTTATGTGCCCAAACTGGTCCTGAATTCCTAGGCTCAAGCAATCCTCCCTCAGCCTTGCCAAGTGCTTGGATTACAGGTGTAAGATGCCATGCCCAGTGACTACTATTTCTTTTTGAGATAAGGTCTTGCTTTGTTGCCCAGGCTGGAGTGTAGTGGTGTGATCATGGCTCACTGCAGCCTCAAACTCCTGGGTTCAAGTGATCTCACCTCAGCCTCCCAAGTAGCTGGGACTAACTGCGTGTGCCACCACACCTGAGTAATTTTTAAATATTTTATGGAGACAAGGTCTCCCTATGTTGCTCAGGCTGGTCTTGAATTCCTGGGCTCAAGCAATCCTCCCACCTCAGCTTCTCAAAGTGTTGGGATTAAAGGCATGAGCCTCCATCCTTGTCCCCACAGTCTACCCACCACACAGCAGCCAAAGCCATCTTTTTAAAATACAAGACAAGGGCCAGGCATGGAGGCTCATGCCTGTAATCCCAACACTGTGGGAGGCTGAAGCAGGTGGATCACCTGAGGTTAGGAGTTCGAGACCAGCTTGGCCAACATGGTGAAACCCCATCTCTACTAAAAATTAGCCAGGTGTGGTGGCGGGTGCCTATAATCCCAATAGGAAAATCACTTGAACCTGGGAGGCAGAGGTTGCAGTGAGCAGAGATTGTGCATTCCAGCCTGGGTGACAAGAATAAAACACTATCTCAAAACAAACAAACAAACAAAAGACAAGGCCAGGCATGGTGGGCTCATGCCTGTAATCCCAACACTTTGAGAGGCCAGGGTGGGAGGGGTACTTGAGCTCAGGAGTTTGAAACCAGCTCAGCAACATGGCGAGCCCCTATCTCTACCAAAAACACACAAAAAATAGCCGGGCATGGTGGTGTGTGCCTGCAGTTCCAGTTACCTGAAGGCTGAGGTGGGAGGATTGCTTGAGCTGAAGGGAGGAGGCTGCAGTGAGGTAAGATAGTGCCACTGCACTCCAGCCTGAGTGACAGAAAGACCCTGTCTCAAAATAAATAAATAAATACATAAAGAATAACCGGCCGGATGTGGTGGCTCACATCTGTAATCCTAGCACTTTGGGAGGCTGAGGCGGGTGGATCACCAGAGGTCATGAGTTCCAGACCAGTGTGGTCAACATGACAAAACCCCATCTCTACTAAAAATACAAAATTAGCTGGGCATGGTGGCACATGGCTGTAATCCCAGATACACGGGAGGCTGAGGCAGGAGAACTGCTTGAACCCAGGAGGTGGAGTTCACTGCACTCCACTGCACTCTAGCCTGGGTGAGACAGCGAGACTCTGTCTCAAAAAATAAAAATACATACATACATAAATAGCCATGTCACTGCCCTGATTAAAACCCTTCAACAGTGCCCTGCTGTACTCAGAATAATACCCAAGGCCCCACAGATCTGGCAGTGCTTACCTCTCTCATCTTGTCCCCTACCACTCCCTTCCAGGTCCTATCAGCCTTTTCAGTACATCTGGCTTGACCCACTTAAGGCCTTTGCACTGGCTGCTCCTTTCTTGGGAATGTTCTAACTCCAAAGCTTCTTGACTGGCTCTTTGGTATCACTCAAATTTCAACACCAGCATCACCCTCCCAGAAGAGCCATATCTGACCATCAAAATAAATCACATATCGCCAAACTGAGTGATTCTATCAAAGTTAAAAAAAAAAAAAAGAAAAAACGAAACAAAAAAATCACTTATCTAATTAGTCTCTGCCACATCACTGGTTTCATTACTTTCATGGCACATCACACAAATATCACATCCTTGCTTATTGCTGTTCCCATAAGAATGTAAATCTCATGAGGCAGGGATCTTGTTTGTCTTGTGTAGTATCTTTAGTGCCTAGAACAGTGCCTGACATAAAATCGGGACTCAATATATATCTGGAAACAAATCAGAGTTCTGACTGAGATGCTGGAGAGGGGGCGTGTGGCATGTGGAAGGGTTCTTGCTCCCTTTTTAAAGGGAATTTCACTTTAAAGGGAACTGTGCAAACCACAGTAAAGGCCCAGAAGGAGCCATGCTGAGGAACGGGTGGGGATACACACGTCATTCTCAGAGGTGCCGCAGATGTTACAACATTTGCACTCGATGCACTGCCAGCGGTACGTCTTCACTGCTGCCATCATCACGGGGGTAAACTGGAGGCAAGACGGGTGCCCTGTAGTGGGGGAAGTGAGTGAGACCAACAACTGGAAATGCAGGGGGAAGAAAAGGAGCTCCTGCCTGTGGCTGCATCTTCTCTTGGTCAGGAAAAGCGAGGTGGGCTGGTTGATTATGATACCACTAGAGGCCAGCAAGCCAAGAGCCCCTTGGGGACTGGACACAGCAGCAGCCTTCTCTTTCCAGGAGGCGGTACCTGAGCGGCCACAGTCAGAACAGGACACCAGCTCCTCGGGCTGTCCCGTCTTCTTGTTAATCTTTGAGTCTCCCAGGCAGAAGTCACAGTAGTTGTTGGGCAAGGCCAATCCATCAGGACCCTTTTTGGCTACAGAGAGAAAGAGTTTCGATGATGCCCATGGGGGTATCTGAGCCATTCAACAACCACGCAAGGAGTGGTTTTCATAACCAGGCCAACTCCTGCCTGCCCACCACACTTCTGACACCTCAGCTTACATTTCTGCTCCTCAGACCTCTGGGAAACAGGAGTGGGTGGTTGGGAGTCTTCCTTGTCCTCACCCTCCTCCTCAGCCAAATGGGAGTGGGCATAGTGGTAACTGAGGCCTGGTCGGTTCTTGTAACGTTTTCCACAAACTGAGTGGGGAAAAGATTTCAGAGAAAGGTGTTAGGATGTAAGAGTGCTACATCCCCACCTCTGCAAGCTGTGGGGGCTCCACCTGAGGCAGAGGGCAACCATCCCTTCCCTAGCATCTCTACTCTGGGACAGGCCTTAGTGATGGCCCCTTCCCCTCAGCCAGGAGCATTAGGCCCCAGGGCTCTCTAGCTTTTGGGGCTCTTTTCCCTCCTGAACTTCAACCCCATGGCCACCACTGCTCTTCTATGTTGGCTTTTGAGGGGCTTAGCCCTCCCCCCATCAACAGTTAGTTGCTCTGGGATACAGTAGCAGTCTGGGGAGCTCCGGGTCAGGAAAGGGAAGGATATTCCTACAGGTCTTTGGTGTGGCAGGAAGGGAGAAAAGTGGGTAAGACTCCAAACTTTTCTACTCCTCAGTAAATGTGGGAGGCTCATGCTATCCCACACAGACCATGGAGCCCATCTCTATTGAATGTGGGTAAACAACAAGCAGGGGTTTCTTGGGGATTTCTTATCATTGAAGCCAGTTGGGCAGTTGGTCCCCAAAGAAATTCAAACACTCCCACATAAGTGCCAGGTCCAGGCCCTCCAACCAGCAAGGAAAGCAGTTCCCCAAGAGGCATTCTGTCATCTTGAGAAGTGATACCAAGAAGGGCAAGGGGGCCAGAAGGAAAGGAATGGGGAGAGAGGATGGCAAAAGGAGGAGGTGGGGTGGTGGGGAACATGAGCTGACCACTAGGTGCCTGATTTGGGGAGGGGATGAAGGATCTGACTGTAATGGGCTCCTGATAATGCTTCTGAAGCCACCCCACGCACTGGGCCGAGCAGCTCTAGGAGGTTTGTGGGAGACAAGCAGTGGTAAAGGCAGCTTCCAGGACTTTGAGGAGTGGAGCACAGCAGAAGTTCCACTGCTCCTAGCCCCATGCCATTCCAGAGATTTTTAAAGCTAGCATCCCAGGAAATGAGAAAGGCAAGAGGAACAAGGGAAGAGGGAAAAAGGGATAGGAAAACCAAAAGTCTGAAAAGTTGAGAGAGCTACCTCTCTGGGGCGCTTTCGAGGTATGCTTTTGTTTGAAACTATCTGAAAGACAGAAAGAAAAGTCATGAGAAGGCCTTGATACACTTGAGACAGGAGCAGCAGCAGCAAGAAAGCAGAACAAACGAGAGAGAAACCCCAGCGGCGATGGTGCTCCCAGGGTGGAGGGACAGAAGTGGGGCAAGCCAGAGAGAAAGAAAAAGAGAACAGACTTTGAAAAACTCAGTGTCAGACCCCTGGGGCCCTGGCTTAACTGAGGCCAGGAGACCTGCAGGGCATCTGCTGAGAGGCCAACCCTGCCTGCTGTGGCCCCCACAAGCAACCCCACCCCAGAGGATGGCAGAAATCTTTCCCAGAGCATGCAGGTTCCACCCATCATATAGCAGGGACCCAGGCCTCCCAGGGGTCTCAGAAGGAACCAGTCAGCAGGCAGGACAGGAACCCAGGTTTGTTTTAATACTCTGGGCAAAAACACAACCCTCCCTCCTCTCATATCCTGAGTAGGAGCTAGGGCCAAGGCAAGGTTTACCCCACCCACTTGTGAGGCACTCACTGTCACAGGCATAGGGCTTATCCCGATCCTCCAGGATGGAAGCATCCAGCTTCTTACGGGCACTGCCCACACCCTTACTCTGCCAAGAAGAGCAAAGAGACATCCTTACTGCGGCAGCTGGGCCTAAGGAGTTAAGACTCTTCTGGAAGTGGCTGCTAATCTCACTTGAAATAAAATGAGGAATTCCCCAGGCCACCCCTTCCCGAGATGCAGGCAACATGCTGGCCCCTCACCTTGGATTTCCCCTTTCCCCGACGCTTGGGAGTATCTTCTTCATAGTCTTCATCATCGAGGTCATCCAGGAAGTCATCTGGTTCTAGGATCCGCTGAGTGGACAGGAGGGTTAGCATGGGTAGAAATACGTGCATCCAAAGCTCCCCTATGATGAGACTGGCCAAGGCCGCCCAGAACCTCCCATGACCTGGTCCCACCTATACCAGCCTCATTCCTCACCACTGCCCTATAGGCATCCCATAGTTCTCCTCCCGTTCCCTTCCATACTTTGGGATTTCCTTCCCCTGTGCTTCACCTTGTTTCCTTAGCATGAAATGCTTTCCCCACCATGCCACATGGCCAAATCAAATAGCCCGCTTCCATAAAGTTTGTCCTGATACCCTAAGTAGCCACGCCTTCTCCTGCCTCTGACTGGCCACTCAGGGAGCACAATATTGGTGGTTCTGTTCTGACACTCACTTCCTAGTTTAAATGAAAGTGCTGTTGCTTATTTGTGTGACCTTGTGGGAAGTTTTTAAACTGCTTTGTTTTCAGCCTATCTGTGAAATGGGGAACACAGGACCTACTCCGTAAGGTTGTACAGACTAAAGGAAAAAGGGCATGAATAAGCATTTAGCCCAGTAGTAGCATATTTATAGCTCTTATAGTCTTATCTTCTCTGTTGGCAGAGACCAAGTCTGCTTTGCTGTGTAACCTCAGAGACCAAAAAACTTTGTGACACAAACTTTTGTGACAGAAGAGTAAAGTAGGGGCCGGCGTGGTGGCTCATGCCTATAATCCCAGCACTTGGGGAGGGTGAGGCAGGCGGACCAAGAGGTCAGGAGGATTACGCGGTCAGGAGATCGAGACCGTCCTGGCCAACCTGGTGAAACTCCATCTTTACTAAAATACAAAAGATTAGCCAGGTGTGGTGGTGAATGCCTACAGTCCCAGCTACTTGGGAGGCTGAGGCAGGCGAATCGCTTGAACCCAGGAGATGGAGATGCAGTGAGCTGAGATCGCACCACTGCACTCCATCCTGGTGACAGAATAAGACTCTGTCTCAAAAAAAAAGAAGTGTCAAGTATTCAGGGATACAAGTTTGTTCCTGACGCTCCCCCAGACAGGGCCTCCCTGTTACCCAGGCTGGAGTGAAGTAGCATGATCAGAGCTGCAGCCTCAATCTACTGGCTCAAGCAATCCTCCCACCTTGGCCTCCCGAGTAGCTGGGACTGCAGGTGTGTACCACCATGCCCAGAGACAAGGTCTTGCTATGTTGCCTACACTGAAAGTTTTTGATATATGCATCTTCCTCTCAAACGGTTTAGCAAAGTTAGATAAGGCAAATGTGGCGAAATGTTAAACTGATAAATCTAGGTTAGGAGTACATGGGATTTCAGCTGGGCACAGTGGCTCATGCCTACAATCCCAGCACTCTGGGAGGCGATCACCTGAGGTCAGGAGTTGGAGACCAGCCTGACCAACATGGAGAAACCCCATCTCTACTAAAAATATAAAATTAGCCGGGTGTGGTGGTGCATGCCTGTAATCCCAGCTAGTCGGGAGGCAGAGGCAGGAGGAGCCAGGAGGTGGAGGTTGCAGTGAGCCAAGACTGCACCATTGCACTCCAGCCTGGGCAACAAAGGTGAAACTGTTTAAAAAAAAAAAAAGAGTATATGGGATTTCACTGACCGCTATTGCACCTCCTGGTTTTAATTTTTTTGTTGTCCAGGCTGGTGTGCTGTGGCAAGATCACAGCTCACTGCAGCCTCGAACTCCCAGGCTCAAGCGATTCTCCCACCTCAGCTTCCCTAGCAGCTGGGAAAACAGGCGTATGCCGCTATGCCCGGTTAATTTAAAAAAATTTTTTTTTGTAGAGATGGGGTCTCATTTTGTTGCCCAGGCTGGTCTTGAACTCCTGGGCTCAAGTAATCCTCCTGCGTTGGCCTCCCAAAGTGCTGGGATTACAGGCATGAGCCACTGCACCTGGCCTATTTTAATTTTTTAAATGAAAATTATATGTATAATAACCTTCTGTGATAAAAGTAGATGAATGAGTGAGAGTCTATACTTAGAAGGAGCAGAAAAATCTAAATGGCAATGGAGAGGTCAGTCAGTATCTGACAATAATCAGGGTTTAAAGTAAGAACAGATGTGCAGGGGCCTGCTTCCTGGACCCCAGCTTCTGTTTCAGTTCTAGAAACTGGGTGGCCCCCAGTGAAGAGGAAGCTGATTTCTATCAAAGCTCCCTGAGCCACAGGGATAATCTTGTACCTTTCGCGCTCGACTGTTGGTCACAGGAAACTCGCCCAGGCTGTCATCATCAACTCGGGGATCCGGGGCACCTCGCTTCTCCAGGGGGTCAGTGCGCAACAAAGCCTCTAAACTACTGCCATCCTGAGAGATCAGCCCCTCCTTCTTCAGGGTCTGGTCTGTGTCTGCAAGCAAGGTCAGAATGAAGCAAGGCTCAGAAGGGCTGAAAGCAGACTGCTCTGAGTCCACATCATGTTGGGGCTTACCAAAGGTAAGTCACTGTCTTCTGTTCTCTGGATGCCCAGGAATGAAGACACCCTAGTTCAATTGGCACCATAACGTACCTGTTTACCTGTCTCCCCTACTAGACTAAGCTCCTTAAAGGAAAGAATCACATCATATTTATTTGAGTATATTCGGTATCTAGCACTGCGCCTGGTATAGCACGGTGATTAGCAGGCTCTCACCATGCAGCAGGCCACACCTCTGCTCAAGAAGTGTGTGCCTTACCTGGCTTAATAGATGGGAAGGAAAGTCGTGGATCCTCAGGGGGGTGGGCTCGACGTTTTTTCCGCCAGCGCCGGGCAGGGTAGGAATACAGCTGTCCAGAGGCCAATCCTGTGGCAGGAAGAAAGACAGAAGTCAGGCCCTAACCCAGTATTAGAAAATAATACCAAATACTCTAAATAAGTAGGCCCCACTTTAAGTTCTAGAGCAAGGGAGGAATTCTGACACTGAGGGCCTAGGGAGTTGGGTGGAACAGTCTGTGGAAAAGAAAAAGAGATATATAAGTTTAGGAGCCTTGGCTAACACATAGTTCTCCAGACACACAAAGGCCTCAGCAGGGCAGAAAACAAAGATGCTGGTATCAACCTATCTGCTTCATCCTCCCTGGGTTTCTAATCACAAGAAGACCATATTCATCTAAAGGCAGAAGGCAATAGGGAAAACCCTATCACCTGTCTCATCACCTAAGACGAGGAGGCTTCTTCCTCCTTATGCTCCTAAGTCCCCTTCTCCCAAGTCTGGACCCTCACCTGGACCCCGGTGTCGCTTTTCCATCCAGATGTAACAATTGCTCTGGGCTACTCCAGTCTGTGAGTCCAAGAAAGGCAGGCGCACGCTGCGCTCAGCACAGAGGCGGGCGTTGTAATTGTGGCACTGCTCCATGGCATCTTTGTAGTACTGCTCCCCAAGGCTGCAAGGAAGACAGAAATCGGGCGTGTGTGTTGGAGAGGGAGTATGGGGTGCTGAACTATTCCTCTCCCCTGCCATCTGCTTCTCTAGAAGGCTCAAGGGACTGGGAGGCTGTCTCTTCCACTCTATTTGCCTCCACTTCTGCCTCATGGGACACCAAGCCCCTTTTCTAGGCCATCATGAGGAATTACTTTTCAAGCAAATTACCATCAGGAACACAGATTTCATCATATGTCTAATCAGACTTAAGTCTAACCCCCCAAAGCGGGGGAAGGAACTAACGTTTCACTCTGTGTGTTTCGCAAGCCCAGCCCTGTGCTGTGTTATTTCTCTTAACCCTTACGATGCTGAGAAGCAGAGGACAGTCCCTCCTTATTCTCTCCTTCCTAGAATCACATCCCAAATAAACTACATGCACCCACATCCTTGCCCCAGGATCTGTTCCAGAGGGAAAGAGTTCATTAAGGTCTAGGGAACTTATTAAAATGTATTCAGTAAAGTATGGAAAATCCATACAATGAAATCCTATTTGCCCATAAGAAACAAAGGAGCTCTTCACATACTGATATTGAACAATCTCAAGTTAACTAGGGAAAAAAGCAAAGCAAGGCACACTGCTGAGAAGTGTCAAAGACAGCTGTCATTTATGTAACAAACTGGAAAAGAAACTACACGTCTGCAGGGAGAAAAACTGGGTGACTAGGCCACTTCCTTCCACATGCCTTTTTATATCTCTTGAATTTTGAAATAGGTTTTTAACCAGCTAATTAATTTTATATTTACAGAAGATGTCTACAAGTACCTGAAGTTCCTTGAAGCTTCTACTGAGCACCGTTACTGATCAGAAACTTGTTTGCTCTAAGGCCCATCTTGGGGTTCTTCTCCACGCTCACAAAACCAAATTATATAGGAAAGAATCTTCTTGGTATCAAGAGACAATTTGAAATCTGAATCAAGGGTAAACCTTTAAGTGGAAAACTGGAAAACTGAACAGTGCCAGGAGTTATCTGGTTCTAAGAAGCATGGAGAGAAGCTATCCTGTTCTCATACCGCAGGGTTTAACAAGCACTTTGGTAATGGAGGTTAAACTAACTCTAACAATTTACACTTACATTCGAGCAATCCTTTTTTTTTTTAAACAGACACGGTCTCACTATGTTGCTCAAGCTGGACACAAACTCCTGGCTCCAGTGATCCTCCTGCCTTAGCCTCCCAAGTGTCCAGGAAGAGAGGTGTGCGTCACATTACCTGGCGTCAATCAATCTTAAACTGAGGGCAGAACTGATTTCTTTCTCATAGTATCCACAATGCTCATGAAGATGTCTGAGATACAGTCAGACTTGACTTGAGAGTAGACCTGGCTTGCCTGCAAGTCACCAGATGAACACAGACATTTAGATAACCCGGGTGGACCTTGGTTACGCTTCTATAGATTGAAGAGGGTGGACCAGATGAGCTTTGATATATCACGATTTTACGAGAAAAAGACTGGACATGAGACACTGAACAGATTCAGTCTCTAGGATTTATGTCCGTAACTCAGGCCACACCAACAACCCTGCTCTGGAATGTGACGGGGGCCTTCAGTGAGCAGACAATAGACCACTGCATAGCTTAGCATGTGCCCAGCAAGTAAAAAATACACATACCACATGCAGAGATGGCAATATCTCAAATATAGCCTGGCATGATTCAGTGAGCTGTAATGACTATAGTCTGAGGTAGACACGAATCTCGTGCTGGAGAGCAGAATGAAGAAGGCAGCCTCTGTGGGCTTGTCTTTAGGAGGCGGCCACATCTTCACCACACAGAATAAAACTGGATAAACAAGCTAAGGCAGCTCCTTTGTTTCTGTTGATGGAAATTGATACTGACACTGGAAGTCAAACGGAAGAAAGGGCCAGGCTGGTGAGGGCTGCAAAGTCAGAGCAAAGAGGCTGGAAACAGTTTTGGGGGAATGGATGAGAGATGTTCTGTCAAAGCTCTTGTGAGCTTTGTGGGATTTCAGAAGGTAAGGCAAACAGTCTTGGGGGTAAAGGGCTGGGAACGAAACACTTAAGTGTATGTGTGGGGAGAATGTGATGAAGAGAGAACAAGACAGAATGAGAGTGAGCTCTTAAGAACTTAAGGGAGCTGGGCACAGTGGCTCATACCTGTAATCCTAGCACTTTGAAAGGACAAGGCAGGTGGATCTCTTGAGCTCAAGAGTGAGAGACCACCCTGGGCAATATAGTGAGATCTCATCTCTACAAAATGTTTTAAAAAAAAATCAGCTAGGCACGGTGGTGCACACCTGTGGTCCTACGAAGTCCCTGGGGGAAATGAGGTAGGGGATGATTTGAGCCTAGGAAGCTGAGGGTGCAGTAAACCAAGGTTACACCATTGCACTTCAGCCTGGGGAACAGAGGGAGGCTCTATCTCTTAAAACAAAACAAAACAAAACAACAACAACAACAAAAACTTAACGCTCTCTAAGCAAGAAATGTCAAGCTAAATTAGCACTGTTCTCTAGATCTTTTTTTTTTTTTTTTTTTTTTTTTTTAAGACAGAGTCTTAGTCTTTTGCCCAGGCTGGAGTGCAGTGGCATGACAGCTCACTGCAACCTCTGCCTCCCAGGTTCCAATGATCCTCCTGCCTCAGGCTCCTGAGTAGATGAGCTTACAGACACACGCCAGTATGCCCAGCTAACTTTTGCATTTTTAGTGTAGATGGGGTTTCACCATTTTGGCCAAGCTGGTCTCAAACTCTTGATCTCATGATCTGCCTGCTTTGGCCTCCCTAAGTGCTAGGATTACAGGCATGAGCCACTGTGCCGGCCTCTAGCTCTTGTCTATAGAAAGTTTAAAAACCAATCAGCAGCTACAGCTATACTTTTATTTTACTCTCCTCGTAAGAACCTTAAAAGATTTTTTTTTTTCTCGAGACAGAATATTGCTCTGTTGCCCAGGCTGGAGTACAGTGGCACCATCTCAACTCGCTGCAACCTCCACCTCCTGGGTTCAAGCAATTCTCCTGCCTCAGCCTCCTGAGTAACTAACTGGGACTACAGGCGCGCACCACCATGCCTAATTTTTGTATTTTTAGTAGAGACTGGGTTTCACCACATTGGCCATGCTGGTCTTGAAAACTGACCTTGTGATCTGCCTGCCTTGGCTTCCCAACGTGCTGGGATTATAGCTGTGAGCCACTGTGCCGAGCCTCTTTTTTTTAAAGACAGAGTCTTAAGGTGTCACTCAGGCTGGAGGGCAGTGGTGTGATATCAGCTCACTGAAACCTCTGCCTCCCGGGTTCAGACAATTCATATGCCTCAGCCTCCTGAGTAGCTGGGACTACAGGTGTGTGCCAGTACACCCGGCTAATTTTTCTATTTTTAGTAGAGATGGAGTCTCACCATGTTGGCCAGGCTGGTCTTGAACTCCTGACCTCAAGCGATCCACCCACCTTGGCCTCCCCAAGTGTTGGGATAACAGGCGTGAGCCACCCTGCTCAGCCAAGATTTTTATTTCTGACATCACATTTGGAAGGGACAGAAATTTACAAATAAGAAAATTCTTCTCCCAGGACAAGATGCAAGTCAGAAAGTTGAGTGGCTGGGTGCGGTGACTCATGCCTGTAATCCTAGCATTTTATGAGGCTGAGACCCGTGGATCACCTCTGAGGTCAGGAGTTCAAGACCAGCCCGGCCAACATGTTGAAACCCGCTGGGTGTGGTGGTGGGTTGCCTTTCAGCTATTCAGGAGGCTGAGGCAGGATAATTGCTGGAACCTGGGAGGCTGAGGTTGCAGTGAGCCGAGATGGTGTCACTGCACTCCATCCTGGGCTGACAACAGCAAGACTCTGTCTCAAAAAAATAAAAGAAAATATGAGCTAGTGGTCCCGACCTCAGTGTATAATATCAACTGTCAGAAGACTAGGCACACTATAATCAAGAGAAGTGCCAGAAAAGCATCTCTTTCCAATGAACTGGAAGAATGGAAGCCCTTGTTAAAGGGATCATTCTGCAGGAGTACGTATTAACTGTGGTCTGAGGCCCTGTACAGCCAGAAATGAGGAGAAAGTTGGTTTCTCATTACTGGCATTCAGGAATTAGTGGCAGGTGAAACAATCTCTATAGTTTTTCCAAGAGAAATCAGAAGTCATGCGGTTTAAATGGGAACCCCTCACTTATGACACAACTTGAAAGCACTGGCAACCCTATCTCCCTGAGGAAAGTCTTCCAACACAAAAAGCCCCACTACGTTTAACTCTCAAAACATAGGCAAGTCTGATATTCCTCCAGTACAAGGGGAATCTTTCTTTTTATTTTTGGAGAAACCCGTGTAAAACATCCCCTTCCAATGGGATAAGGGAAGTCAACAAAGACGCAGGGAAACAAAGAACATCTCAGCCAGGAAGGATAACCGGTATACAAACAGTGTCATTTCTAAATTGAGAAAAATGTCAGCCTCAAGAGAGCTGCGAAACTGGAGTGGGCAGATCAGAGAGAAAGACAATAGTGTTGGGAGGAGGGTGGCTGAAAGAGACAGGATAGATCAGAAAGCAAGTTAAATGAAACACACACACACACACACACACACACACACACACGAGGAGGAAAGGCACTTAGCTTAATGGAAGTGGGAAAGCATTCTCAAAGAAAAGGCTTCAGGGCATGAGGGAGAAGCAGTTTACTCTTTAAAAAGGCTCTTAGGAAGAGTGGGGCTCAGCCCACGATAAAGACGGATGAAAAGCGGTGAGTCCCTTAGAACAGCTAGCGAACCTCTACTTTGTCATTCAGTCAAAATCCAACAGCCCTGACTGGACAGCTAGACATCCTCAATTTTCCCACCCTTCCACTGTCATTCAGTCAAAATCCAACAGCCCTGACTGGACAGCTAGACATCCTCAATTTTCCCACCCTTCCACTGTCATTCAGTCAAAATCCAACAGCCCTGACTGGACAGCTAGACATCCTCAATTTTCCCACCCTTCCACTGTCATTCATTCCGTCAAAATCCAACAGCCCTGACTGGACAGCTAGACATCCTCAATTTTCCCACCCTTCCACCAAGCCCAACGTACCCATTAAAAGAAGCTCTATTCGCCTAGGGGGCATTAACCCAGTCCAAAACTCGTTCTCATTCTTCTGTAGGAATTAATCAAGTCCCAAAGCATCTTTAACTGACAGGAAGCAGTTCATAGGCCAGTGTCCATGGCCCCAACAAATACTAACTTTAACTCTGCTTGATATCTGGCCAGCACAATGGTACCGTGAAATAGGAAGAATACCCATCTGGATGTCCCTTTAGGCTACTGAGCTGTCCTGAACGGCTTCGGTCCAGCCGCAGGTTTTTGATGGCTGCTTCTGGACTGCGCCAAGGCCCGCTCCCCTGAAGTTCCTTCCCTTCTTGTATCCGCTCTTCGACAAATTCTTCCCAAGAATATTTGCAGTCTTAGGTGCCCGCCACCCAAGATCCTCCCAAACGTCACGGGGCCGCTCGGAACTAAAACATCCAGCCCCGCAGTGCACCCCACTGGGGCCGCCGACCCTGTTGCTGCAGCGGACGGGACGGGACCGGGCGGTTTGGGCGGCGGACTCGCCAGGGGCCGCCCGGGCCTCAGCCCCGCTCCTCGGGACTGAGGCGTCTGGGGAGAGGACCGGGACCGTGAGTCTCGCGCGCAGGCAGGGCGCCATGCTCTAGAAACCGTCAGCCCCGAGGAACGCTCAGGCTACACAGCCCCGCAGGGAGGCCGCCCGTCGAGGCTCCAGTGTGCCCCCATCAGGGCCTCCACAAGTTTCCAAAGAAGCGCAACGTCTTCTCCAGAGTCTCCTGTTGCCCTCCCCACCAGGAGTCGCAACACGATCTTGCCGGGCATGTCCCTCTCTCCGTCTCATCTCTTCCCGCACGGCCCCCTCCTCCCAGGCCCTTTACAAAACCTGCCGCCCTAGGAGAGAAAGAAACGACCACTCACAGCTTCACGACATTCTCCACCACAGCCGCCATCTTCCCTGCTCCTCTCCCTCGGGCCGGGAGGCCCCAGAGTCCGCAGCGCGCAGGCGCCGGGACCACACGGGGGCACCAGGTTCCTCGCCCTCTGCGCAGGCGCCGCCCGGGCGCGCGCACGAGAGCGAGTACTGAAGAAAGCTCTACGCTTGTCTGCGGGGGCCGGGAAGGAAACGCGTGAGACCGCACGGGAGACCGATGCGCAGGCGAAACCGGAGACTGGCATGCGTCCCGGAGCTCGGTTGGAGGCGGGCCGCCTCTTCTATCTAGAAGAGGTGGGGCAGGGCGAGGTGGCTCACGCCTGTAATCCCAGCACTTTGGGAGGCCAAGGCCCGTGGATCGGTTGGGCTCAGGAGTTCGAGACCAGTCTGGCCAACATGGTGAAACCCTGCCTTTACTAAAAATAGAAAAATTAGCCGGGCATGATGTCAGGTGCCTGTAATCCCAGCTACTTGGGAGGCTGAGGGGGAGAATCCTTTGAACCCGGGAAGGCGGAGGTTGCAGTGAACTGGGATTGCACCATTGCACTCCTGCCTGGGCTACAGAGCGAGACCCCACCTTAAAAAAAAAAGAGCTGGAGGAGGCCCGTCGCGGTGGCTCCCAGCACTTTGGGTGGCGGAGGCCGGAGGATTGCTTTGAGCTCAGGAGTTTGAGACCAGCCTGGGAAACTTAGGGAGTCCTCGTCTCTACTAAAAATTAAAAAATTACCCGGGTGTGGTGGCATGTGCCTGTGGCCCCAGCTACTCAAGATGCTGAGGTGACCAGATCGCTTGAGCACAGGAGGGTAGAAGCTGAGTGAGCCGTAATCGCACCACTGCACTCCAGCCTGGGCGACAAAGCGAACCTTGTGTCAAAAAAAATAAACAAACAAAAACCCCAGCACAGTCGACCTTCACTATCACCTCTTTTCAGTCTTTCAAAGCAAATAGTACTCCCTGTCTCTGTTGCCTTGTTTCCAAGTCCCCCTTCCACCCAATTGGTTCCCACCTGTTCACTTGAACTAGCTCCTGTAACCCTGACCTCCCTTTCAGCAGATTTAGAGATGTCTTCTCTGTCCTCATGGGCCTGTCAACCCCATGACACTGTTGGCCACTCTGCTTTTCAAACTCTTCTGCAGATCTTTGAGACGCCACCCCCTCCCGGTTGTCCTACCCCACTGGCAGTTCCTTCCAGTCTCTTCCTCTGCTCAGCCTCTAACTGTCAGAATCCTCAGGGCTTGGTCTTTGGTACTTGTCATCTTTCCAATATATCTTATATCACCAATTCCAAGATGCACATAAATCTCCCCCTTCATTTTAATATTTCAGAAGCTGGACACATCTTACCATTGCTGTGTCTTAAAATCATACTTAGCAGGTGAGAGTTTTTGTCATTCCTAACCCTGTACGAGTATCAAAACATGCAGAATAGGTGTTAGCAGCTTGGAAGAAAAACCCAGAGAAGATGGTAGTAGATTTTTTTTTTGTGAGACACAGTCTTGCTCTGTTGCCCAGGCTGAAGTGCAGTGGTATGATCTCGGCTCACTGCAAACTCCACCTCCCGGGTTCAAGAGATTCTCCTGCCTCAGCTTCCCAAGTAGCTGGGATTACAGGCCTGTGCCACCATGTCTGGCTAAGTTTTGTATTTTTAGTAGAGATGGGGGTTTCACCATGTTGGCCAGGCTGGTCTTGAACTCCTGACCTCAGGTGATCTGCCTGCCTGAGCTTCCCATAGTGCTGGGATTGTAGGCATGGGCCCCCGTGCCTGACCTAAAATGTTTTTTTAAAAATTAGCTGGGTGACCGGGCACAGTGGCTCACGCCTGTAATTCCAACACTTTGGGAGGCCAAGGCAGGTGGATCACTTGAGGTCAGGGGTTGGACACCACCCTGGCCAACATAGTGAAACTTTGTATCTACTAAAAATACAAAAATTAGCTGGGCATGGTTACCGAGAACTAGCTCAGTTGGGGGACTCCCACCCAGGCGGCTGAAGGTATTCAGAGAGGCAGACACCCGGATAGCCAACAGAGTGGATCTGTCCTGGGGACCAACAGCCTGAGAGCCTGCGGGCCTTGCAGCTCTCCAGGACTGAAGGCCCTGAGCAGAGATTCATCCACGTAATTATTCACTCTTTGACAGGTGATTCTTACTAATGCACAGGTGTTCTACATATACACATAACTCCAGACTATACCAAGTAGGCAGCTGTTACCCGCCCACCACTAAGTACAAACTAAAAGGTATCCTCCACAAAGGAGCCATGGGGGCAGGATAAACTTAATGTTTCTTAACGTGGTGGCGCGTGCCTGTAATCCAAGCTACTCGGGAGGCTGAGGCAGGAGAATCGCTTGAACCCGGGAGGTGGAGGTTGCGGTGAGCCGAGATCATGCCACTTCATTCCAGCCTGGGCAACAAGAGCAAAACTCTATCTAAAAAAAAGAAAAACAATTAGCTTGGCATGGTAGTACACAACTGTAATCCCAGCTACTAGGGAGGCCGAGGTGGGAGGATCACTTGAGCCCAGCAGGTTGAGGCTACAGGGAGCCACTGGAGCCATGGCAGTGCACTCCAGCCTGGGCAACAGTGAGGCTCCGTTTCAAAAAATACCTATAGACTATCACCAAAGCTGAACATACGCATACTCTATGAGCCCTGGAAGTCCACGCCTGGATATATGCACAAGAAAGCTATACAAGAAGCTGAGTGCAGTGCCTCATGCCTTTAATCCCAGTGACTTGAGAGGGCGAGGTGGGAGAATCGCTTGAGCCCAGGGGTTCAAGACCAGCCCAGGCTGGAGGGCAGTAGTGTGATCCTGGCTCACTGCAACCTCCGCCTCCTGGGTTTAAGCGATTCTCCTGTATCAGCCTCCTGAGTAGCTGGGATCACAGGCACCCTCCACCTCACCCAGCTAATTTTTGTATTTTTAGTAGAGATGGGGTTTCACCATGTTGGCCCAGCTGGTCTCAAACTCCTGACTTAACTGATCTGCTGGCCTCAACCTCCCAAAGTGCTGGGATTACAGATGTGAGCTACTGCACTTGGCCCATAACAGCATTATTTGTAATAGTTCCAAATGCCCGTCAACAGTAATATGGACTAAACAGCAATGTAAGAACAAACCATTACCACAAAAATGACATGAATGAATCTCAGCCAGGTATGGTGGTTCGCGCCTGTAATCCCAACACTTTGGGAGGCCAGAACGGAAGGAATGCTCGAGACCAGCCTGGGCAACATAGTGGGACCTTGTCTATAAAAAAATCAAAAATTGGCTGGGCATGGTGGCATGTGCCTATAGTCCCAGAGAGGCTGAGGTGGGAGGAGTGCTTGAGCCAGGGAGATAGCGGTTGCAGTGAGCCAAGATTGTGCCACTAATCTTTTTTTATTTTTCGATTAGTCAGGATGTAGTGTGCACAGGAGGCTGAGGTGGGAGGATTACTTAAGCCTCGGAGGTTGAAGCTGCAATGAGCCATGATTGCACCACTGCACTTAGCCTGGATGACAGAGTGAGACCCTGTCCAAAAGAAAAAAAAAGTAAAAAAAAATAATTTTCAAAACTGTAATATTGTAGACAAAGCATTGTGGGGTCTGAAAAAAAGGAAAAAATTAATGTTGAACAAAGGAAGCCAAATCAAAAGGGGACATATTGTGTGATTCCATTGATGTAAAATTACACAGACACACTAATTTTTAGGGCTTGAAATGGCTACTGAGGTGCCAGTGATGTTCTTTTCCTTCATCTGGGTAGTGGTTACACAGATTTGTCTATTTTGTAAAAATTAATCAAGCTATAATTATTTTGCATGGTATGCCTGCATCAAAACATCTCGTGTACTCATAACTGTATGTATCTACTATGTACCCACAAAAATTAAAAAATTGAAAAAAATTAGTTAAGCTATACAATATCTATGCACTTTTCTTTATGTATCTTTCACTTAAAAGTTTGAATTTGGCCGGGTGTGGTGGCTCACGCCTGTAATCCCAGCACTTTGGGAGGTTAAGGCGGCAGATCACCAAGTCAGGAGATCGAGACTGTCCAGGCCAACATGGTGAAAACCCATCTCTACTAAAAATACAAAAATTTGCCAGGCATGGTGGCATGCACCTGTAATTCTAGTTACTCGAGAGGGTGAGGCAGGAGAGTCACTTGAACCAGGTTCAAGTTGGAGGTTGCAGTGAGCTGAGATCATGCCACTGCATTCTAGCCTGGTGACAACAAAGCGAGACTCCATCTAAAAAAAAAAAGTTTCAATTTAAAAATAGTAGTAATAATAAATGGGCCAGTTCCATATAATTGGAAAGGCAGCTTAGGAACCCAGCATCAATAGCTTTCAATTTTTTAGGATTTGTTTAAAAAATGTTACATCACCTGGCCAGGTGCAAGTGCTCCTGCCTGTAATCCCCGCATTTGAAATGCCTAGACAGGCAGAATGCATGAGGCCAGGAGTTTGAGAGCAGCCTGGCCAACGTGGTAAAACCCCAGTCTCTACAGAAAACACGAAAATTAGCTGGGTGTGGTGGTTGGGGCCTGTAATCCCAGCTACTTGTGAGGCTGAGGCATGAGAATCGCTTTAATCATGGAGGTGGAGGTTGCAGTGAGCCAAGATCATTTCATTGTATTCCACTGTACTTGCTCTGGGTGACAGAGCAAGACTCTGTCTCAAAAAAAAAAAGCAATGTTACATCACCAAACAACAGGTCCTCTACGTGCTCTGAACCAGAAACCAGCATATATAGTGTTTCTCTTACAGACAGGAATCACAGAGTAGGAACTGGGCATGAACTCCCTTGGAATCTCAACTAATGGCTATTTTGCAAAATATTTGTTTCCTGCTCCTGCAACTCTGGTCTCTGGCTGATTTAGAGCCTTTAGGACCCAAGGGAGTAACTCCTTACCAGGGCACCCAGTAACAGTTTCTCTAAATTATGATCTGAGATCATCAATAGACCATATTTTGTTCCACATGCCACTGGGCAAGAAAATAAGAAGAGGGTCCCACTGTTGGGGTGATCAATTCCACTGTAAAGGGGAAATAGGATTGCTATTAGCCTGGGCGGGGGCAGGGAGAAAACCCAGGGAATCCCCTGGGATGGCTCTTCTTAATATTATATTCAGGTAGGTAAGGGGAGATAGCTCCTGATTAG